CATACACATACATACCCATATACATACACATACACATCCGTGCATCTATGTGTATGGCAGTACACATAGACGCATGTATGTCTACATATAGACGCATATATGTGTCTGTGCTGGTCGCAGTGCTTGCAGTAATAACACACACATACATACACATAGTACATGTATATGGCACGTGGTGCAGGAACAGAGGAACCCATCACTACATATACGTGCATCTATGTGTATGGCAGTACATATACATACACATACATACTCATACTCATACTCACAAACATACATACACATACATATACACATACATATACACATACACATACCGTGCATGCACAAGAACATGAGCATGCACGTACGTGAAAATATTCAGCGACCTGGAATCTCGATTGCTGGTCTACTAAGAGCCCAGCGTACGTGCAAGCATCATGCATATGATGACATGATGCATGTCTTGTCGACATGCATCACATCTTGATGCATGGACACCTACTATAATGCATGCACATATGCTGGGCTGATAGTAGGTCAGCAATCGAGTATGCCCTGCCGCTGAGCATTTTTTTTGAGAGTGCATGCACAAGAACATGTGCATGCACTTACGAGAAAATATTCAGCAACCTGGAATCTTGATTTCTGATCCACTAAGAGCCCAGCGTACGTGCATGCATCATGCATAGTCGACATGCATCACAGCCTGATGCATAGACACATACTATAATGCATGTACGTATGCTGGGCTGCTGGTAGACCAGCACCCGAGTATTCCAAGTCGCTGAGTATTTGCGATACACATACACATCTCTGTGTCCACATATTCGTATCTACATAGACACATCTATATCTTATTATTACAATTTGTACTCAATATCAGAAACGGCTCTTAGCTTCTTTCAATAAGGATACTAAGAACTATGCAAAAGGTGCGGCTACTTCACGGTCGCGAGAAACTTTCATGCAAGTCTGGGTTGTATTTAAGAAAGCAGAAGGATGTGAGGTATTACGTGGCAATACAAGACAACACGGTGGAATAGCGCAACGACTCAATACGCAGCTACGGATAGAGGAGGGTATGGGGCCAGACCGCGAGATAGAGCGCGTTACTATGGCTCTTCAATACAGTCGCCAGAAACGAATTAAGATAGGCCATGCTAACTCAGCAGGGGGTCTGATTGATCTGGGTGATGCGCCAGTCTCTGAGGCAATCAACCAGAGCAATGCGCTAGACGCCATGAACAAGAGGGTTAGAGAGGAAAAGCGGCAGCGTGATGTAGATTGCGTCACACGGGAAACTACTTTCCGCGAGCATTGTCACCCGTTGACACTGCTACGAAAGGTAAAGCTTGCAGATGGCACCGACGGGCAAGAGATTATTGGCAATGCCGATGCAGATATTTGCTGCCGTCGGCATGCCTTACATGATGTATCGTGGCTTTGTTCCACGCAGGCCTAATTTTGTTGAGGAAGTGGAGGGCACCGGTGGTGTTGCCTCGCTGGGCACAACAGTGAATGACCCCGAAAATGTGTTGCATCTGAAGAAGGATAGAGCGAAAGAGAAACTACAAGCATTATCGTGGGATACTGAAACTCGTCCTTACCCACAGTTGATGTCTGCTTATGTGGGTATTCTAAGGGGTCAGCGGGTTTCCCCCCAAGATGGGGATGAGACCGAGCCCAATGGTGTGTTCGCTGCAAGAACTGCCCCACCAGCTGCTGGTAATAGAGTTTTTGATGACGATCATGGGGACGATATAAACATGGGCGCAGGATTTTAGATACAATAGATTAGGATTTTAGGTACAATAGATTAGGATTTTAGATACAATAAATTAGGATTTTAGATACAATAGATTAGGATTTTAGATACAATAGATTAGGATTTTAGGTACAATAGATTAGGATTTTAGATACAATAAATTAGGATTTTAGATACAATAGATTAGGATTTTAGATACAATAGATTAGGATTTTAGATACAATATATTAGGATTTTAGATACAATAGATTAGGATTTTAGATACAATAGATTAGGATTTTAGATACAATATATTAGGATTTTAGATACAATAGATTAGGATTTTAGATACAATAGATTAGGATTTTAGATACAATAGATTAGGATTTTAGATACAGATACAATATTGCAATGATGCCATGCTAATGTTGGTAACACAATTACCATTAAAGCCCAAACTGAGCGATATGACTTTGTATATGTTAAATAAATAAATATAGTATATAAACCCAATACGTCTTATTGAAATCATATGAACGTTCTTTTTTTTAGTCTATTTATTAGTACATAAACGAACAAATTTGATATCTAATATAGTAAGTATAGTACTATGTTATTGAACTAGTAGATACTATTTAGTATTCATATTCTATAGCTATTTATATATTTATATGGCTAATGTGTGCATTGCTTATGTTAAATAGTTTAAATGAAAGGAACTGTATTCATGTCCTTTCTCCCAAATATTGAGACAAATTATCAAGTTATTTACATAGTAAAGTTCGATGAAAATTTCCTAAAATTTTCCTCGAACAACGCACTCAAACTTCACTCAAACTCTGGGGGTAAAATTAATTAATTTATTTAAATATTTATTATTTAAATAATTTAGTCCTCTTCAGCTGGCTCGACGTCGTCGTCTGCATCCTCGGCATCAATGCATGCTCCCTCAGCATCAGCATCGACATCTTCGGGGACAATCTCTTCCTCTTCACTATCCAGGCCTTGTAGCTCTTTCATATATTGTTCAAACTCGACAAGGTTATGATATGCCAATCTATCAAATTCTAGGTGGTCCCGGTTGTAGCCAGCATGAGAAAAGGTTGTAAACAAATCACATGTAACCCCCATTTGTATTCCATTGTTGAGATTCGTTGTATTATCATGGCAGCACTCCAGAGCTGCGTTGATACAGTCCAATGGTCTCCACTGTATTACAAGTGTCATAGAAACAAACACACACACACACCTATATATATGTTAAAACTAAAGCATTGTAAATTATAGGATACAATATTGTGTGCAATATAGCAAGTATAACTGATACATTACTAACATACCATGTAAAGAGGAACGCAGTGGCGCTGCAAGAACGATTTGAATCTTCCAAACGCAGTCTCTATGAAATTCAGGTATGGACTATATGGCGGGAGGAAAAACACTCTCTGTAAAAATAGCGGGTTCCTAATAGTAGTTGCACTGTTAACGTATATTATTAACGTATAAACGTATAAATGTTTATTTTTATAATACTGGAATACGTTTAACGAATTGGATATGAACAAGAACTGAGAAATTCAAGATTCTGAACATGTGACAGTACTCAGTAGAGTATGTGGACAATTAGGTGGTTTTCCAAATATAGATTGGTTTTTCCACTGAAATTAGAATTGTACATAATAAAGGAACGACACCAATCTGACACCTGAAAATGGCACTTTGGGAATCTCTAATTAATGGGAGTACCATGAGAGAGGGTCTCAGGCATGAAATGGTTGTTGGTACAAACCTATGGTATAGTTCGATAATGATATCAGAGCAAGATAATCCACTGAGAAAAGGACAGGATCAGAGTTGTTAGAATTTAGGACAACTTGGTTTTGATTCCTCCTAGCTAGCCAACTAGATGTGCCCGTCTATGCCTTAAATGGGATGGAGAGCTAAATACCAAGTGATAGGGTTTGCTTGGTGTTTTGATTTTATTTTTATTTTCTTAAGTTGGACTTCGAGGTATTTTATTGGTTAGCTTGATTAGGTAATTGTTTCGAGGCGTGAAATGTAAACTGTGCGTCCAATGAAATGATATCTAATCTTAGCAACTAAAACATAAATAAATCTAGACCGGAGTAGTGAGTGATTAGAGCGGAGCATATAGACAATAGTCTCAGTCTAAAAATCCCCGAATCTTTTGCTCATTACCAAGGGCTGAAGCTAAACCTATTTAACATTTTGCATTAAAACGTTTTAACGTATTGCCTTATTAACGTAAACGTCTTGGTATCGTATAGTCAGCCAAGAGGAGACCGACTTTTACATCTCGCTCCCACGGATTCGATTAGCTCTACTACATCTGCACGATGTATAGCAGCGTTATCAAGAATCACAATGCTCCGCGGTAAAGGCGACGGATAGAGACAAGGCAGAATTTGTTGCCGGATATGATTGTAGAAAGTAGTGGAGTTGTACGTCTCCTTAGATAGTGCCCAGGCAAAAAATTCAAATAGGTCGCTAGCTGCCAGCATGCTAACACGGTTGCCACGTTTGAATGCACTTTTCGAGGTCATCTTCTGTCATTTCGGGCCATAGCCACGCTTCCGGAACGTTAAGCGAGCATCACGGGATGCCTCGTCGACGAAGACAAATTGATTCATGTTACTGTAAATCTGTTCATTTCAAATAAACGAGATAGTCAGAGTACTGAAGAAATTTATTTGAATATTTAAAATATTGATGCTTCCCATAGACCATAGATAATAATTATGATCAAAACAAACCATACCTGTAAAACTTCGATGGAAATTACTAGGGTTT